AAGACTTCATTTCGCTTGGCTCCACTATTAGTGCTCATGAAAGCAGCAGCCAAGAAATCAAATGACTTGTTGCATTGAACAAAACTGCTGCACAAGACCTCTTTAAAATGTTCAAGTGCTAAGATGTCACTTTGAGAACTAAGGTGTGCCTGACCCAAGACAGGGTATATTATATTGCTTCATATGTGTGTCAAAGTTAATAAGGAAGACCCGTAAAGAATAGATGCAATTGAATTCTGTTGTTGGGGAGGAATAGTAAAAGTATCATGGACTACCAGAAGAACAAACAAACCTGTGTTGAAGTACAATCAGAATGCTCCTTAGAATTGAGTTGCTAAGACTTTGTCTTTTGTACTTTGGGCATGTTGTCAGGAGGAAACAGTCCCTGGAAAAGACATTATGCTTTGAAAAATGGAGGGTCAACGAAAAAGCATAAGAGCACCAAGGAGATGGATTGGCAGTGACAAAAGCCATGGGCTCAAATGTAGTAACAATTATGAGTTTGGCACAGCACCAGGAAGTGTTTGGTTCTGTTGTACATAGGGTCGGGTCGCTATGAGTCAGAACCAACTCGACAGCTCCTAACAACATCAGCGATCATCTTCTTTTTCATTCCCATTTTGTATAATTTTACTCTCTTTTCTTAATCAAGGTCATGAAAGGATTGTCTGTTTTACTGGTTGTTACAAAGGATCAGCTTTTTTATTTAGTTATGCAAGTTTGGGGGGTTTCTAATTCATGGCGTCCTGAAGTGGCACTGTAGGGTAAGTGCTCAACCACAAGGTTGGGTTGAATTTCAAGGTCATCCATTCAAACTCATCAGCTGCTCCCCAGAAACCCTATACAGATGTGCTATGGGTTGGAAGCAACTCAACAGCATTTAACAATAACAATCCATTCATCAAAATTGTTACTTGCATTGCTTCCCTTACTACCAATTTCTTATGTGGCACTTGATGGCTAACCGCAAGGTCGGCAGTTCAAACCCACCAGCAGCTCCTTGGAAGCCCTATATGAGGTCACTATGAGTCAAAACAGACTCAACAACATTTAACAACAACAATATTTAGAGTAAGCTTTGAATAGTTATAGTAAGCTTATATAGTCTTTTATTATTATTTGTTTATTGTGAATTACATGATGTGTCACTGTAGGATCAACGCTGGACTAATAACCACAAGGTAAGCAGCTCAAACCCACCAGCAGATCCTCAGAAACCCATACATAGTCACTATGAGTTGGAACCAACTCAATGAAACTTAACAACAACAGTATATGTAGGTTTACTAAGATCAGTTTTTCCATTCAATAATTCATACATGTTGTGTTTCATCTCACTGGTTGCAATCCTCACAATATAACATTAGGTATCCCATTTCCTCCCTATGTTTCCTGTTTCCATTCCTCCTTCTTTTCCTATCCTTCTTAATTGTTGGTTCTTGGGTAAATGTTGCCCTTTTGATCTCAAAGGGTTGATTATTATAAGGTGTGGGGACCTTCCAAGTGTTATTGTTTCACATATAGACCTGTCTAACCCTCATTACTGATTGCACCTTAAAGTAAAGAAAACAAAAATCCTCTCAACTGACCAATAAATAACATCATGATGAATGGAGAAAAGATTGATGGTGTCAAAGACTTCATTTCACTTGATTCCACAATTAACACTCATGGAAGCAGCTGTGAAAAAATAAAAAATCAAATGATGGATTTCATTAGGCAAATGTGCTGCAAAAGACCTCTTTAAAGTGTTTAAGAGTAAAGAGATCAATTTGAGTACTATGGTGCACTTGACCCAGTTATGGTATTTTTTTCAACTGCCTCATATTCATGCAGAAGTTGGACAATAAATAAGCATGACAGAAAAATTGATGCATTTGAGTTATGGTGTTTCAGAAGACTATTCAGTGTCATGGAGTGCCAGAAGAACAAATTTGTTTTGGAAGAAGTACAGCCAGAATGCTCCTTAAAAGCTAGGATGGCAAAACTTTGTCTCTCATACTTCGGACATGTTATCAGGAGGTACCAGTCCCTGGAGAAGGACATTGTACTTGATAAAATGGAGGGTCAGCGATAAAGATGACCTCCAACAAGATGAACTGACACAGTGCAGCAGCAATGGGCTCATACCTAAAACTGTGACTAGTGCCGGACCCGGCTGTGTTTCATTCTGTTGTGCTATGAGTCAGAAGTAACTCGATGGCACCTAAGAACAACAGCAACATTGTTTGGCTGAAAATTGAGCCACGGGGGTGAGTTCATTTCCAGTCCTGAAGGGTGACTAAGGGCCAGAGTCTTGGGGTTCCATCAATCTTTATCTGACCAGTAAGCACGATCTTTTTTATGATATCATGTTTTGTTCCACATTTTTCTCCCATTCTATCCTTGGCCGCCTAATGTTATATATTTCAGAACAGTTGACAAGAGTAGCTGGGCACCATCTTGTTCTTCTGATATCATTGGAAGTGGAAACTGATACTCACTTGACCCATTTGTCTATTGAACTAAGCATTTCCAAGCATCTTCTATTTTCTTCACTTTTCTTTACTCCAAATATGGAGAGACCAAACAGTTGCACTTAGATGGTTATTCATGAGCTTCTAAAACCCTAGTCGCAACTCACCAAAGTAGAATGTAGAACTAACTCTGTGTTATGCCAATTGACCATGGTGCCCCCCAAAACTATGGTTCTGAACCCCCGAGGCTCAGTGACACATTTCCCTCAAGGTGTTTAATTATGTCTACAAAGTCTTCATAACTTTGCCATAAATATACCATCATGGGTATATTTGCCCCAAAGTTAAGTACCCATGTACTTATGTCCTCTGCCAAACCTGTATTTTGGGTATACTCCCACGCCTCTGCCACCCATTCAGCCTGTGTGTCTATCCACGCATCTGGTATGGTACTGCGGGTTAATGCGCTGGACTGCAGTCAGTTTGAACCGCGGTTCAAGCTCACCAGCCGCTCCTCACTAACCCTATACAGGGTCACTATGAGTTGAACCGACTTGATGGCACTTAACAGCAGCAGGCTGTGTAATTAATTTAAGTATTGTTTATTGCTTGAGTTGTGTCAATTCTACACAACTATAAAAAGTCCACAAGGGCTGGAAATCTTTGCCTGTATTGTTTGTTTACTGATGATGTATCTCAAAAGACTAGTCCTTGACAGACGATAAGTATTCCAGAAATAATTATAGATTACCAAATAATTTTCCTATGACTGATTTTACTCATATAAAGGGGGGGTGGAGAGAAGGGGGACTAAGATACTACTTGTATTCATTCATTCAGGAGCACCTACTAGTTCCAGAACCGTGTTGGGGTTGAGGACCCTGGCCTTCCGTGTCCACCAGTCTGTTTTTAGGGCGCATGAATGAAGAGGAACAGGAGCCAATGAAAGACATCGAATTAGTGAGAAATGTATTCGTTTTACAGATACAATCTTTCTATTTCTTACCGACCTCAAGTTGGTCGCTGTACCTAAGTTTCCCATTCCACACTCCTTTGTTCCACACTCCCAACACTTAAAATGATGGGCTGTAAAAATCACTCTAAACGTGAGGGCTTCTGAAAGAGTTGGCTATGGCTAGTACTCGCCCACCAGCTAACTACAGGGAAGGCTTTAGTCAACGCGTGCATCTTCTAAAACCCAGGCCCTGGTAGAACTCGCGGGGGGATGCAAAGTGTCTAGTGATGGCCAAGACTGCTTTCCGCAGACACCAAGGTCGCCAAGGCCTCGCAAGAGACGGCCACACTTCGCGTCAAAAGAGGGCGCCCCAGTACACCATTAAATGACAAAAACAACGAGCGCACAAAGACGCCTCCGACACCGCCACCGCGCAAGCGCAGCGCCAGTCCTGTGGCCGTCTTGGCTCCGCCCCTCAGGCCGGAAAGCGTTACCGGCGCTTCCGGCGCCCCTGATTCGGCCTCGGTGATGTCGTGGGTTCGAGCAGCTGCTTTGGTCCCGTGCCCTGGAGACGAAGGCGATGTGTTTGATGAGGAAGCCGACGAGACGCTCCTGGTGCAGCGGGAATGGAGGAATCACATGCACAGACGAATCAAAGTAAAGCTGCTGTACTACGCGGGGGATTCCTGGGGAGACAGGTTGCGAGGAATGTGGAGAAACCGGGTCCCGAGAGAAGCCAGAGCCGCCGCGGCTTGGGCCATTACTGTCTTCCCTACCCCTAGCACCTAAAACGGTCCCTATCTTACTATTATTTCCCAAAGGGCTACTTGAGAGCGTGTGAAACTACAGGATGCGCTCGACACGGACCAAAATCAGCTCTCTCCTGACTGCAGAGATTGCAATTTGATGAGTACCACAGGGAAGCGGGTGGGAAAGAAACGTATATACGGGCGACTAATTATGGCTGTCAAGGGGCATGTATACAGTCACGTGCGTGCTTCGCTGTGGGCGAAGCCTAACATTAGGAGTGCTGTCAATCATGACTATGGGAAAGGTGAATTTGAGAATGTGAAAACCACGAATTCTCAGTGGATAATAGGGGAAAGCCAATCCGGAATGCGGGCGGCTGGGTAAGAGGATATTAAGTTGGTTGGCTGGTGGTTTCCTATGTGACAGGTGTGAATTATTCATCTCTGATTTGTCACACTATTCACTGTTGTTGTTATGTGCCGTGGAGTCGGTTCCGACTCATAGCGACCCTGATCAGGGTTTCCGAGGCTGTAAATCTTTTCGGGAGCAGAAAGCCCTATCTTTCTCCCGTGGAACAGCTGGTAGTTTCGAACTGCTGACCTTGTGGTTCACACCCTTCTTTTTCCTGCTTCACTTTATTATTCAATACCTTTCCTGACCCTCTTTACTGCCCTGCCTCCCCACCCACAAATCCAATCAGTTGCCAAAGGGCCAGATATATAATTCTCCAGGTTTCCTTTGTATGAATTCATTGCTAACATTGGGGGAGGGGAGGGAGAGGATACAACCTATTAGAAGCAGTATTTTTAATATTGTCCCAGTAAGTCTGGACTTCAAAAGTGAGGTGAAGATTAACCAATAATAAACTTCTATGGACAACATAGGCTCCACAGATTGTATGGCTGTGCCCTATGTTATAGAACCATTATGGTAAGTAAAGTCCCATTTCATCAATTTCCTAAATTAGTTCAGTGCTGATTTAGAAAACCCTACATGTGGTACTAGTTACAGCTGCAGTTCTTCCTTTGTGATTTTTAGGAAGGTTATAGAGACGGAGTAGACGCTGGCAAAGCTGTTGCTCTTCAACAAGGCTTCAATCAGGGCTATAAGAAAGGTGCAGAAATCATTATAAACTATGGACAACTCAGAGGAACATTAAGGTACTTTTCAAAACTTAAACTTTGAATCATTTTAATGTACTGATGTACATCAATTGTACTGATGAATTTTTATGAAAGTATTATGTAAAAATGCAGTGTTTAAACTGAAAGTTTGATACTCTTAAGGGATAAACTCATGTTTTATCTCTCCTTCTAACAAATTTATATGAATAAATTCAATTGCTTCAATTATCTTGAATTTATGTAATTAAAGCCAATTGTGTCCTTTTTATTGAAAATCCATTTTTTTCATATATCTTATTCTACTGTCATTAATTTCTTGGTTTTTACTTACACTACTCATTAATCTGTTTTTACCTCGTTTTGTCTGGAAGAGAAACATATACTTTAGTGTCCAAAATTCAAAAAGCCTGATTGTTTAATTTTTTCCTATTAACTCTCATTTATGTTTTCATTTAGTGCTTTGCTCTCCTGGTGTCACCTCCATGGTAATAGTTCGGCTTTGATCAGTAAAATACATAATCTTCTGGATGCAGTTGGCCAATGTGAAGAATATGTGCTCAAACATCTGAAGTCCTTCACTCCAGAGTCCCATGTTGTAGATTTATTGGACTCCATTCAGGATATGGACCTTTGTCATGTAGTTCCAGCTGAGGAAAAGATTGATGAAGCTAAAGATGAGAGACTCTATGAAAATAATGCCGAGTTTAACAAAAACTGTAGCAAGAGTCCTGGAGAGATAGATGGTTCCTCTACAGAACGTTGTCCAACACAGCAGCATGCACATTCAGAAAGCCCAAGCCTCCCTTGGATTTTAGAACAGACAGCTGGGTTAGTAAAACAGCTGGGAGTACCAGTGGACGTCTTACAGCACCTCAAGCAACTGTAAGGTTACCACGTTTCTAATGTAAAGAATGTGTCAGAATACTTTTTAATGTGTTTTTATTGTTTCTTAACCAAAATATGTATTGATTTCTATATTGAATATTTCAGCTGTCTGGGTTATCCTTTAAGGAAGTTTGAAATGTCTTTAAGTTAACACCGGTAACTGTAATATAAGCATTTCTTTGATACTGGTCCAGCATCCTGCCATTTCTGTATTTGCTCAGCCAATAATAATGCCAGATAATAGAGTTGCTCAATCTTATAATCTAGATTATGTTATAATCTCTTTAAACCACTAAAGTGATTTTAGTTTTCTAATTTTTATGTTGTGTAAGATATGTTAAAAATTCCCAGTTTTTATCATTTTTAAATTTCCAATCAAAATCAAGCATTTTCAGACTAATTAGCAAAAACAAACAAAAATCAAACATTCTTTTAGGACCTAACTATACTTTGTCCTGCTAGTATTACCTCATAGTCTGAACCTCATGACCAGCTAATCAGACCAAAGTTAGGAAAAGTAACCTGCCTAACATGTAGATGGAGTCCTGGTGTGGCGCTGTGGGTTAATGCGCCAGACTGCAAAGCCATTTGAACTGCAAGGTCGGCAGTTCAAGCTCACCAGCACCTCCTCAGAAACCCTATACAGGGTTGCTATGGGTCGGAACTGACTTGACAACACTTCACAACAACATGTAGATGATGATGTTGTTAAGTGCCATCAAGTTGGTTATGATTCATAACAACCCTGTGCAGGGTTTTCAAAGAGTATCTGGTGGGTTTGAACCACTGAGCTTGCAGTTAGCAGTCCAGTGCTTATCCTGTAGTGCTACAGCAGCACATGCAGATAGACATAAACTCGAGATTTTTACTAACACTTGCTGAAAATACCAAAGTGGCAGTTGAAAGGCAATTGTTTTAAAAAGGTGAAGATGTGTCTGCTAGCATCTCTCCAGACAAACCCTATTTCAGACTTACTGGTTCCTCATATATGACAGCTAGTCCTTATTTACAGATGCAGCAAAACTTTTGAATCCACAACAAAGATTATAAATCGTCTCTAAAGTGTAGGTGTTCCCAGCTGCAAAGGACTGCTCAATGCTGTGCTCATTGATAAATGGTGTTTCGTAAATAGGAGCTTTTGTACTAGAACCAAGAAGGATGAGGGGAAAAAACAACTTGCTTGTGTCTCTTCCTTGCCTCCTATATTGTGCATCTGCCAAGTCTTAAGAAAAATGAACTTAGGTGATTAAGACAGGATTACTCCTGAACTGACAGGCAGTTTCCAGACCCAGGACCAGGCATTAGGTCTGGGTGATGTGGATTCCTTAGAAATAGAATTTTTCCCTTAGGTAAGTTATTTCTAGGTGTCGACATGCCTAGGTTTTCTTTTTTTCTTTTTCTTTTTCTTGTTTAACAAAGTGGGAAAGCCCACAATTCTATGCTTTTCTGACATTTTAGTTCCTTGAGCTACTGAAGCTACCAGGATTTTGTAATACAGGGAAACAATGGGCAGTCGAACTCACCTACCCATTTTTATTTTTTGCACTGTTAACTAATGATAAACCAAATAAAAACCTTGATTCATGTCTAAGTTGGTGATTCTCATCTTCAAACTAGGGGTAAGGTTTTGTGTTCCAGTTTAAGCTTTAGAAATATGAGGGTGCTTCAGAAACTAATGGAAAAATGGAATTGAAGTATAACGGAATTCTCTTATGAACTTCTGGAAGTCCCCTCTGTGTAGAGAGACAGAGAAGTTTATAGAAATATAAATAGATATCTCTATTTTTAAAATCTTATTTGTAATGTTAGTCCATGGATAAAGTAAATATATGCTATGTGTATATCAATAAACTACCACTGAGACTGCTCTACAGATAGTTTCAAGACTCCAGCACCATCTTGTTGTTGTTACGTGCCATCGAGTCAGTTTTGACTCATAGTGACCCTGTATAGGGTTTCCAAGGAACAGCTGATGGGATTGAACTGCTGACCTTGTGGTTCAAACTGACCTTGCAGTCCAGTGCCTTATCACACAGCACCACACCAGGACTCCATTTGTCACTCCATTTTTTTCTTTTTGGCTTCCAGTCTCAATGCCTTAGCCCAGTAGTATGCTTTTACTACCTGACATTCCTCCTGATTCATCAGCTTCAACCTACTTGTTGCTAAGGCCACTGATTGCTAAAGCCACATAGCTGCTGATTGACTTGGTTTTCATCCTGCCACTTGTCTTTTCGTCACCATTGAACATGTGCACCATTCCCTACTCCTGTTTTTCCGTAGCAGCAGTTTTTCTTGCTGTTTGCCCTACTTACTTTGTAGTTCCTCATAAGGACTACTCCCAACTACCATCCCCTCTCCCAGGCTCCAGACTTCCAAAGGACCTTCAAAAAGTTCCTGGGAAAAAAATCCATTATCTTTAAATTCAATTTTTCCACCCCTTTTTAGAAGCCCTTGCATATATTTCTAACTGCCAGTCTCACATACCTATCTCAGTGGCTTAGATGGTCAGATGTTTAAGACTGACCTTATATTCCCTTCGGCAACCTCTGCTTGTTTCTCATCATATCTTACTTCCAATTGATCCCTACCAGTAATGGGTTTGTTGTTGGTTTTTTAAACATGCTTCAAAATGTAGTTTGAATCTGCCTAGGTATGTTGTTACATGAGGAGGAGATAGTTTCTTTAACAGATGGTGCTGGCAGAACTGGAAAGTAATATGCAAAAGATTGAAACAAGACCTTTACCTCACCCCTTATACAAAAACGAACTCAGGATGGATTAAAGACCTAAATGTGAATCCCAAAATTATGAAAGTCATCAATGAAAAAATAGGGACAAATGTAAGGGTTCTAATACAGGGAATATACAGACTATCAAATATTATTAAAATTACACAAACAAAAGTAGACCAAATAGATGATTGGGACATACTAAAAATTAAAAACATGTACATCCAAAGACATCACCAAAAGAATAAAAAGGCAACCCACAGAAGGGGAAAAAACCTTTTGCAATGAAACATCAGACAAAGGGACTGACTTCTAAAATATATAGGAAACTACAACACCTCTACATGAAAAAAACAAATAACCCAATTTGAAAATGGGCACAGGACATGAACAGACACTTCACCAAGGAAGAGATCCCGGCAGCCAACAAACATATGAAGAAATGTTCACGATCACTAGCCATTAGAGAGATGCAAATCAAAACAACAATGAGATATCATCTCACACCAGCGATAACAGCAAAGATAAAAAAAGTAGAGGACAATAAATGCTGGAGGGGATGTGGAGAGACTGGGAACCTCCTACATTGTTGGTGGGATTGCAAAATGGCCCAATCACTCTGGAAAGCAGTATAGTGTTTCCTCAGAAGGTTCAAAATAGAAATACCTTATGATCCAACAATTCCTCTACTTGGTATTTACCCACAAGAAATATGAGCCATAATACGAGTAGATATATGCACACGAATGTTCATAGCAGCACTATTTTCAATAGCAAAAAGATGGAAACAGTCTAAATGACCATCAATTGAAGAATGGATAAACAAACTGGTACATACACACAATGGAATACTATGCTACCTTGAAGAACAAGGAAGCTGCAAGCCACTGCATAACATGGATGAACCTTGAGGACATTATGTTGAGTGAAATTAATCACAAAAGGAAAACTACTGCATAGGACCACTACTGGATACCAGGATGTGGGGGTTGGGGTGAGTGGAGGGGAGGGGAAGTGGAGCACAGGGTAGAGAATTGACACAAGATAGTTCGGGGGCTAGGGAGGGAGGCAATACAAAACAAGGGGAAGGGGAATGGAAGAACAAAGCGTAAGGGAAAACAATTAGGCAGGTTTGTAAGGGCTAATTGGGACAGAGGTGAATGATGTATGCACAACCTTGGAACAACAGGGCTCCAGGATACAGGGATTGAGGCTTGGTTTGAAGGGGTAAAAGAGCGGAATAATGTTAAGATGCTTGGCTATCTTTTGACTCTTGGTTTCCCTTGCCTACCATTGTAAAGTAGACACTTCAGTGGGGAGAAAGGAATAGCCAGAAACATCACTACAGAAAGCTTGTAAGTCTGTCTTCAGCCTATAAGTGATAGGAATACCTTAAAGGGGGCTAGAAGTTGCCTAGTGAAAGAGGCTTCCTGTGGAGCCTTTACATTACAAAAAGACCATAGGTGGAATCTAGAACCCCATCCAGAACAGACTGAGGTTGGACATTTCCAATGGAAAGGATGAGTAGACCAGCCTGGAGCAGCTAGAAGAACAGAATATAACTTGTGAAATAAAGACCGGCAGGAAAAATTCAAACCATTAATGGTGGTCTGATTGATTACTACAAGAACAAGTAAGCTGTTTGCCCGGGAGCCATCAAGGCAAGTGGTCGGGACCCCTCAGAGCAAACTCCCTTCCAAGACTGAGACTCAAGGGGAATACATGAGCAGGCATATGGTCTGGCTGGTGACCACATTGGTCATCAATAAGGAGAAGAGGGGGAAAAAAAAAACCAATAAAGTTGTGAGCTAAGTCCAACCACATTCAATAGACCCCTGTGAACCCCAGTGGTTGTCCTGCAGTATGGCAAGACCCTGGGATTCATGGGCCCAAAGGCAGCGACATGGCCACAGAGGACTAGAGTGGAGAGTGAAGTGTCCAGCTGATATGAAGTAAGGGGAGATGCGCAAGAACACCCATACTTGCAGATAGTACCCACTCAACCTGGCTTTGATGGCTGGATGATCAGAACTCTACTAGAAGAAGAAAGAAGGGGAAAAAAAAGAGTAGCCTGCTATAATTTGATGAACTTTACCTATACTTATGGTTGTTGTTGTTGTTGTTAAGTGCCGTTGAGTCAGTTCCAACCCATAGTGACCCTGTACAGGGTTTCCGAGGGTGTAAATCTTAACGGGAGTAGAAAGCCTCATCTTTCTACCGCGGAGCGGCTGGAAGTTTCAAACCGCTGACCTTAAGGTTCGCAGCCCGA